TGTCTGAGGCTGGAAATCCCACTCCTGAGCATATCACACCAAGGACAAATGGTGCAAATACCAAGGGTGAGCAGTACAGTCCATTCTTCCTGTCTGATTCATTCTACCTGTCTGCCAGTACACATTTTCATTTTTCAGTTCTGCAGCAGTTTCTTTCAAGTTCAGCAGAGTCATTTCCACTAATTGTTAATTGTTGTAACCCAACAAAAGAAAAGACATTAGATTTTCTGCTTAAGTGGCCAAGTTTAAATTAAAATGTTTTAAGCCTTGATTCAGGGAAGCATTTAAAGATGTGCCCAAGTCCATCCCTATTCAAGAAATAACTTAAGGAAGTGCTAAATTTTAAGTGTGTTTAAATTTAAGCCTTGTTGATTTCAGTTCTGAACTTATCTAAATATCTTTTTGCCCCCTTATGTCTATCACTGGACTATTGCTTTTAATTCCAGCAGAACACAACCAACAAAGTACTAGGGTCAAGGCAGGGTTTAATAGTTTAGATTATTAGCAGTTTCGGAGCCAGTCTGGAACTGTTAGTGGACTTGGTCTGAACTATTCTGCTGTATCTTACAGGTACATATGGCTTCAGGTTCTGAATGTCTCTTTTGTTTGCAGCTCAGCTTTACAGCTTTTGCTGTTGAACAGCACTCAGTCTGCCGCTGGGATTCAGTCACGATTCTGAATGGTGGCTCGCCTGGTTCTCCTATCATAGGACAGTATTGTGGAACTGTATCTCCTGGAACCATTCAGTCTGGTTCCAGCAAGCTAGTGGTGATTTTTAACTCAGCCCATTCAGTGCAAGGAGGTGGATTTTATGCAACATGGACAGCAGAGTCTTTAGGTAAGAGTCACATGATTTATGAGGAGAGGCTAAGGGCACCTCCTACAAATAGCCAGTGCCTCACAGCTGAATGCAGTAGAAGCCTCAACATTTGAACCTTTTTGACCAACTCCTTTATTTGTTACTATTTCCCTAGGATGTGGTGGAATCATTCATTCAGATAATGGTACGATCAAGTCTCCCCATTGGCCACAAAATTTTCCCATGAATACCAGATGCACATGGACTATCATCACTCATGAAAGCAAACACCTGGAGATGAGCTTTGACAATAACTTCCAGATCCCTAATAGCAATGGGGAATGCCAGCACAGTTATGTGAAGGTAAAGTGAACATGTTTATGTGTTTAGTATTTATTACATTAAAAACTCTACCTTTGTTATTATGTTGTAGTAGAGATTTCAAATGCACAAATATCAGGAACTTCAAAGTTCCAGTTCCTGCAACAAAACTGAGCCTTTGTTTTGCATAATAATCAGGGATCTAGGATTTCTGTTTCCCACAGGAAGACAGTGTAAATCACAGCTTTTACCTTTTACCGGAGGCAAACACGGACTTTTCATTTTACTGGAAAAGTTGGCAGATTTTGCAGTTTTGTGATGAGCTCTCTGCAGGCTGGCAGAGTTCCAGCCTGTAGGGGGGTAGGAGGGAGTGGGAGGAGGGTGGTCAGGCAGGGGGTGCCATTTGCATGCACATACATATGGTCCCAGGAAGCCTGGAGAACAGCTCCTGCAGGTAAGTGCAGGGAGGAGAGGGGGAATTGAGCCCCTGTAGGGAGGGAGCAGGGGAGTTGGGCGGGCTGGGGCTGGGGCTGGGACGGGCTGCTGCCCAGCTGGGCAGTGCATGGGGCTTGGGGGCCAGGGCTGCAATGCATGGCTGCAGGGCCCAGGAAGCCGACCCTGAACCTTTCCTGTGGTAGGTGTTATACAAACGCATAACAGAAAAATGGCCTCCATCCTAAATTTCCTTATGATCTAAATGGAAGACAGAAGACAACAAGAGCAAACAGACAGAGACAGCAGACAACTAGGACCAGTGAGGAGATAACTATGTACTGAGTAGGGCTTCACTAAGAATAATGAATCATAATGGTGATGACATAGCCCTAAATATTTTAAAATATGTCAGTATATAAGATGTTGGAATTTTCTTAACACTTCCTTTTTATTTCAGTTATAATAGAAAGATAAAAATCTTACATTTCGTATGCAGGCTATTAAAAGCCACTTGTTCTGAAGGCATTAGAATAGAGTGGGACATGCCTGGAATTCCTCAGTTTAATTTTTTCTTTGGCATGTGTTCTGTGTTTCTCTATTCATTCTCTCCCGACCAATACAACTCCCACTTGTAATAAAGGGCAAACACAATTTGTTATCATGTAGGAGTACTTGAGTATCTGGGTATCTCTGTGTCATGAAGTGGCTGAAAATGAAACAGTATTCATTTTTAAAAGACATGAAAAACTAAATATTAAATTTGCAAATCCAAAGTCCTGCCTTACTGAGCTGTAACTGTAAGTATGTCACTTAAAAATTTAATTTAATATATATCACATCTTACTGCTGCCTAACAGCTCTGTTCAATACAAATGTCCAAAGTGTCCTAGATAGCCATACTGAGCATCCTTTGCAAAGCTGAGAACGTATAGGCAAAACATAGATTCATAGATTCATAGATTCATAGATTAAGGG